CCAAGCACGTCGTTACTCTTCGCCTTTTTTTCCTCGCTGTGACGAAAAAATTTCACAGTACCGTCAACCGATCTTTGACGCTAGATTCCTTATTTTTTTAGTCTTTCACTGAAGTAGTCCCTTTTAAGCCTAAGTGATTTGTTTGCTTTTCTGTACGATCAGTTGGTCAAACACCCAGGACAGTAATGGCGAGGTTTTGTTACGCTCTTCGTCTTCTCGGCTTGACCAACGCGAATTTTTCGAAGGACAAATTATACTACGTCTATTTTTCGATCTTCCTGCTTTTATTTTGCATTTACAACTTAAAATTAAATATTACCACTATTTAGCTGGATATTTAAAATCAGATAATAAATCGATCTGTAAGTCGCTATGCGCGCTTAAACTTTTTTTAATGATTCACATACTTTAAAGATATACATATCGTATTCTCAAAAAAGCGGCACGCCTAAAGAGATCTCCGGATTCCGTGATCCTGATGGCGCAAGGACAAGCGGATGGCAAAAGGGGGAAAGGAGAGATGCGAGAAAGAGAGACGCGGCAGCGTGTGCAGGTTCGTGATTCGAAGTAGGTGGGCCCCAGGTAGCCAGGACAGATAACACCCGGAGATTACCGCGGACAGAGTCATTAGCAGCGTCGGCTTCTGTGTCGGCCAAGATATTCTCTCACTTTCCTCCCCTGCCGTCCCGCTGCTACTCTCTCCCTCCGCTCGCCCCACCGTCCATTCGTCCACCGTGCGGTTTTATCTGGCCGGTCAATTCACGCGGCACGATATATACACCGGATCGCTTCTCAGATCCTACCACTTACTTTCCATCCTCTCCTTCCTTCCTCCCCTTCTCCCTTTCCCTTTCTCTTTCTCTCTCATCTTTCTCTTCCTCTTTTTTGAGCTAGGCGCGTCTCGCGATACTAGCCTCCTCCTCTTTCTTCTCTCGCGAACCGTGTCCTACCCCTTTGCTTCTCTCCTTTTTATCCCTCTTTCGCCGACATGTTCTACGGGCAGAATGCACCGCGAAAGACGCGCATTCGCCGCGCTCGAGCGAGCCCAGATTAGAGTCCGGAGAAATACTAATTGCTCCGATCGGCGTTCGCACATATTTTCCACGGCGCCAGAGGCGTGTCGAGGCCGAAGGTCCACGAGAAACGAGATAGAGACAAGGGAACCGCCGGGGCGTCGCGCGAAGGACCGGAAGGGGGCCCAACGATGGTAGTGGCGGTGGAAAGAGGGAAAGAGAGAAAAAGAAGAGAGAAACATTCTGCTTTGATAGGCTAATGACAAACGCCTAGATTGCCGGCTTATCACCCGGCCAGCGCTAATTATTTCCCCTTTGTACCGCGCCGCGCATAATGGCGTCCGTGCGGGAACGAGCGAAGGTTCTCTCTCTCTCTCTCTCTCTCCTCTCTTTCCGCTTCATGTGTGCTATGCCGATTTACACGCACGAGCGGCGCGTCGACGAATTTTATTTGTTACCGCGTGCGGTGGCGGCAAACGTGAGTTTCTCGCCGCGGATTGACGGATTGACGTTGTGTGTGCGTTACGATCGGTCCCTTCACTTAAGCCTCTACGCACTCCAGTGATTATCGACTCTGTTCAACGACACGGTGGACCTTTGGCCCCTACGTTCCTTCTCCCGCTCCCTCCAGATGTCTGTTGACAATTTCTGTTTTTTCCTCTACTGTGGCCAACATGTGGACCAACGCAATTAAAAGCGGATTTTAGTCTGCACGAGTAATTGCAGTTATTCGCAGATATTTGGTCCTCCCAAACCTTTTAATTTTTCGGTTTTTATCATTGCGAAGATTGAATTCAGTTTAGAGATCAGATTCAAAAGAATGGCATCATATTTCATTATAAAAACATACCAATCATACATACAATACATACAAATCATATAATATTAAACATTAGAACTTTGATTACGAAATAATATAGAATTTTTTATCTCTCAGTTAATTTTAGTTTCAGCAAACTTTAGTATATAAAAGCTTGTTATTTTGTGAGAGTATACTTTTATATAAAATCTTTACTAATATATGAGATACATTTTTGAAAAATATATTTCTTTGACATTTTCTTGCTTACAATCAATGCTGTTGCAACGCATTGCTAAGAAGCGGTTCCGAGAATTTCAAAGTTGGCGCTATTAAGAACTTTCCTCAGCATCGAAAACTTTTCTGGAATAATTTGCCCCTCCCCTCCCTCTACCCCGCTTTAAAGAATCATGATCTTTTAGCTGCGCTCGTTCTCCTCCGCATTTATCGACGGCAGTTTGCGATTCGTTAAAAGACACATTACACTCGTATCCGCTTTTCAAACGTTTTCCAACTGCGAAAGTTCTCTCTTTGAGCGCATGATAATTATCCGGATTCCATAAGTATAAGTGAAGCATTTGATGCATAAATTTATCAGCCAACACCAAGGATGCTGTGTCCATTTGTTCGTTTTTCGTTATCGTCGTTGATAAAATGTTCTCGACAATCTTGTTCCCGCGACAAAGCGAGATGCTCTGAACGGCATCTGCATAAAACGGAAGGATGGCAACCGGTGCGGAGAAACACGCGACGGAATCGTAAAAGAACACGGGGGGGAAAAAGTGAAAACAGAGAATCGATGTCAACCCGTCGAAATCGGGATCATAGATGTACTTTTTTTAATCGCGCTTCCCAATCGTTTTCTTCCCTCGTCGAAAACGTTTCGCTCATTTTATCGACATAACATTCCGTAGTGTGGAAATAGACAATAATGTGTTAAATGTTGAACGCAAATCAAATATTTCTCTAGAATGCATTTTATTCTTTTAGAATGGTCTATATAATGTCTAATTAACCACATTTATTTTTTGATAGATTTTTCTATGAATTTGTGACAATGTTTCTCAATCAATAAACATTTTCTTTTTACAAAAATTTAGGCAAGATTAAAATATACTAGTATATTCCATGAGAGCGATACCTATATATTTCGCATCATTATATAATGATTTGGCCTTCGCAGTTAATTAAGAAATGCTGTAAAAATTGTAAGGCTTCCGCGAACGATTCTCGGAGCATGTCTCTAGTCTAGGTTTCTAGACTAACCCGATATTATATATTAATACTTTAATGATATTGCTCACGATATCGGCGAAAAACTTGAAAGTACCAACTCGTCTCGTATCTTATTAAGAAGTTCATAAAAATAATATAAAATACTTTACTACGTACAATTTTAGCTTCCACAGCTGAAATTTCTCGCGAAACTTGTTTGATGCCCCGAGGCATCGGCTCCGATTTAAAGATGCGCGAGCCACAACAATCTCGGATAATAAATGTTTCCTTTGACGAACGCGAAGATTCTTCTCGGTTTAGCAGAAACATTACGATGTCGGCGCGGTGGCGGATGAACCGGTTCCGAACGCCGCGCTGAAATTAATCTCGCTTCCTCGCTACATCGTACGATCGAGTCACGATCTACGGGTGATAAGCACGGCATCGATACGTTTTATTTAGCGAAGTGGGCAGCGCGGGATTGCGGATTCCGGAGATTGAATTAATAAGTGAATTCGATTGAGTCTCGACGGAGCGGCCGATATCCAGAATACGGCCGGCCATGTTTCGGAACCTATCGATCACTATGTTATGCGCCATATAAATTATGCCGATGACGATTGGGGCCGATGTCGCCTCCTCGATAGCGGGTGGACGGTCGGAACTGGCTCGTCGCGAATCCGAGAATCCATCTTCGTGAATTCGATGGCGGAATCGAGCGATGACACACGCGGCTTCCGGTTATCGATCGCCCGCGTTCACGTCGCCCGGTAATTTGCTCGTTACCGCTCACATATTAATCTCTCTTTCTCTTTCTCTCTCTCGTTCCCTTTACGCATGCGACGAACGCGTGCGCGAGTTCGCCCTTTTTCGTTTTGCGTGCCGGAATATTCTGAACAGCCTTTCGGATCGGATAATAAAAGCAACGCGTGCGCGGGCAAATTTGCTCCGGACGCGACGTGAGTCTCGCGAGCGACTCGCACGTGCATATTCGCGTCCGTTTAACAAGATCGATGGGCGTCCGCCAGTGTAACGCAAGCTTTTTAATCGTAGGATGAGGTCAATAAATTATCGCGATCGGAAAGTTCGTTACTTCGATAATTTGACAAATATGAACAGTGGCAATTTGGCGATAAGCGCAACGAAATGTACATTCATGCTGTAGGTAAATACATACTATTTTATCATAGCTATTTCTATTAATTAGCGAATCAGCCAAGTGCTAATAAGAGAAATATTAGGAATGTTCAACAAATAATTAATGTTTCCAATGTAAATACGTACAATCGTCATCGTCAGCGGCGCGATACAATCCGAGCGCGGAGCTCGCTCGGCAAGCTCGATTGCGTTTGCAGACTTTGGTATCGATCAGCTCGGCATGATGCATCAGTGTAATAGCCGCTTTGCCAAGCTCATGCCTTCTTGGCCCGCACGGAACTTTATGAAATACTTGCACGAAGATTAATTAACCGGGAGAAAGAGTAACGTGCCGAGGCACACGCTCTCTGATTGTGTGATTAACGGCAACACCTTCTTGACACTTTTTTAATCTGACGTATCTCTATATTTTTCTTCGTGCAAAATCGCTCTCTCGTGTCTCGCGCCGCTTTTGTTTCTTAATTTTGCGCCGTAGATCACTTTCAGACCACGCTCGCGAGGGCTAATCACGAGACTTCTGAACCCCGCGATTTGCTCTAATTGGAACGCTCCGAACATTGTTCATTAGAATGAAAAAGAAATCCACTTTATACGAAGTTCGAGTATATTCGAAAAAGTCTAGAGAAAAAAAATTTGATTTGTGTGTTGTTTGATTTTCTTTTGACTCGATTCTAAAATGATTTCGATGTGGAAGTGATCGCATCATCGAGCAATTGGTCTAAAAGTGCAAACGAAGCGAAATTAATTGCAAACATTCTTTGCCAAAGCTAGCCTAAAACAATCTGTCCCAATGTATGATCCCTTTCTTATTACAGACGATACTGAACTCGATGCACAAGTATCAGCCGAGGTTTCACCTCGTGCGAGCCAACGACATCCTGAAACTTCCGTATTCGACGTTCAGGAGTTACGTTTTCAAGGAGACGGAATTCATCGCCGTGACGGCCTATCAAAACGAGAAGGTAAGCGACCTCTGGGTTTTTGCTCAAACACACGTATCGTCCACACGCGAAAGAGATCTTCCGTCAGATCAATTTCGGAACGTCAAAGTGCAATCTTTCGGAAAATCGAAGCACGACTTTGTATTTTGTAACGCCCGGGGAACTCTTGTAGGAGGCCATAAAATTTATTTATTTATTTATTTTAAATTCTTGACGGTGATTTAAAGAATGCTTATTAACACCATAAAGTTAAATCGAATATAGATTCAACTATGTGAATTTACTGTTTCAATGAAAACTGTGTTTCAAAACTGACAAATAATTGGCACGCAGTTTGGAAAAAAGTATATAAATTCGCACAAAATATTATTAGGCTACAAAGATTCAACTCGACCGAAGGTGGCGTTCTCTCTATTTAATTGTAATATTTATTTAGCTCTTTTCTTTTTATCTCGTAAAATTATCGATGCAGAAATATGACTCCTGCTTTTTGTATGTAAAAAATCATCACCTTATCGCAGACGAAATGTGAAGCTCATCCACAGCGGCGAGAATTCGTTAGAAATAAACAATCTCGCGTTACGATCTGAGAGAGCGGGTCGTTTTGGTTACTGGCCTTCCGTTAATTAATATTTCTTCCCGTTCCTGTGTCTTGATAAGTCATGGACGCGAGCATCATTTCGTGGAACAGCGTCTTCTCGGTACGCATTATTTTCAGTAGTGAATGAGTTGCTCACACGCACGCACGTGGCCATAAGAAGAAACCGGGCCTTATATAGATTTTTGGTAGGTCGGTTAAGTATGCGGCTCTAATCCTATCTTAATTATCGCGCCTTCTCGGTATATCGGCCGCGCGAAGCAAAGCGAGGAAGCATATTAGAGTCGAGAGTCTACAGGCCTGTTAAATCCGACGTAACGAAAGATTGTTTAATTCGCAATTTTTTTTTATCCATGCTCAAATATATTTATTTTGCTTGCAGATCACTCAACTGAAGATCGATAACAACCCCTTTGCGAAAGGATTTCGGGATACCGGTGCGGGGAAGCGCGAGAAAAAGTGAGTATCGCTTTCAAAACTGCATTTTAAAGCGATTACATGCGGTACTTTTTTTTGACACTTTCCTGAAATTAAAAAATTTATGCCAAATATACAAATTTTTTGTTATATGTATATCCGTGTTCCTGAAAGACTTATTTAATTCGTTCCATTACAGTCACGAGGTTTATTAACAAAAATTTGTGAAAATCATATAATATATCAATAATCAGGAAAGAGTTAAAAAAATCAGTAGGCTAAGTATCTTTCGAACGTCCCATAACGAAAGTCGTACGACTCGGAATCTGCGTTAGTATATAAGATTAAAAAACTACCCTAAATGCAAAGCAGACATGCCCTCTCTTCGAATCGCGTTTTGTGACGAGCAAAGAGCACGAATCTGTCTTCGGGGTCGACCTAATTGATCGTAGACCTTTCGAGCTTCCCCTCGATCGGCGCTATTATGCCGACCTTAGGGTCACCCCCCGAGCTAAGGGTTGGTTTCACAGGGCTCATTTGCACTCCGCATCGCCGGCAGTGCCGTCCATTTATATTCAATATTGCGGGTTTATGAGCTTATGTCAGCGAGTGATCCCTCGGAGGGGATGCTGGCCCGCCGCGCCGTTGCCGTGGACCAGGCCGCTATGGAAACCCATTTCGATCCCATTGGTCGCAGGGTGAAAGCTCGAGTGGATTTTGATGAAATTAAGTCGCTATGCATAACAATTTAAGATGTACTTAATCCTTCTAACATCATTAAGGAACTCTTGAAATTTCATTAATAAAAGAGAATATTCTGCCTGCGGTGCCAGCGTGTATCTCGTATCAAGAAGTGCATTATGTTACACGGAAAGACAAAAAAAAAGGACGATGCAAGCCGCGGGTCAGAAAATTTTCGGAAAATTGCGGCGGTCTGCGACGTCGAGCGGATAAAGAAAGGGCGAGGTTAATCGAGAAAATATGCAAAGCAGGGGGCGCGTCGCCGCGGCACCGCCTAATTAGAATAAGGGTTAGTTTTGGCTTATGGTTTCGGTTAAGGGTGGTTGGATGCCATCAGGAAGCCACAGGGAAACCGGAAAGAGAGAAAGAGAGAGGGCACGGGCAGGGAAACACCGGCAGAAAGAGACCGCGAGAGAAAGAGAGTGGCACAGCGAGAGAGGGATCGGGGTTGGAACATAGCCAATCATCGGATTAGCATACTGATGCTCAGGGGCGGCGCTATCGTTAACGTGGAGGGTGCCACTCTTGGCGGCTTTGAATTTTATATTGGCCCTACACAGAGATCGTTTTGCGGTTGCACAAAGACTGCGCTTCGAGAGCCTCGGTCGATCTTTCCAACGAAAGCGCGAAATCTCTTTCCCAGATCCCACGTGTTATTTTTTATGCGTTACCTCTTCGGTTGCATAGATTTCTTTACGATACACTGAACCGCTAATAATCGAGAACCGAGACGAAGCAAGTAGGCTAGAAAAGCAGAGAAGTAAGATGTGAATGTATAACAAAATCAGTCGGAATTTTGTGTAGTTACACGATAATTTAGATGAGAGATCCCTCAAAATTTAAGAAAATGTAGAGTAATCACGTGACTACATCCGAATAAAATCGCTACACCCGATACGCGACAGGATTAAACGACACTGACAGCCGGCGCATTGTTTCGTTAATTTTTTAACAACGCGCGACGCGGCGGTTCGTCACGAGATGTAACGCCACTCGAGCGTGACGAGTTGATTCGCCACGCCGCTTAAAAAAAGAAAAGGAAAGAGAGAGAGAGAGGGGGGGAGAAAAAGAAAGAAGGAACCGCTCTGGTGTGGCGAGTTGTCACGTCATTTATCATCATACACACCGCGGAAAGATCGTATTGCGATACACGCGGCGGATTAACCCGTTCGCTCGTGAAACTCCCACAACCGCGCGTTAATATACGTATAGCGCGAACAACGTGTATTTTCTAGCGCGCTTCATTAGCACAGGTGTTCAATTAATATTCGTGACGCTGACCATTGTCCCCAGGGTTAATTTTCGCGATCGGTAACTCGCTTATACATGTACCACGAACGTCTTCTGATTAATGAGCGAAGCAAGAGCACGCCGAGAGAAATCTGGCCGAAGCTGGCGAGTTTTACTTAACTTTTGCAGTTAATTATCCGCAAAGCGGAAATCGTTGGGATTCCTATGCGTTTCTCCGCATTGCAAAGCATTCCTACGAGATGTAATTACGGCCCGACTAGCTCTAGGCTGCATCCCTGATTTTTGTAAAAAAAAAAAAAAAAATATCCGTTTCACCTCGTTCGGTAATCTCATGTTACAGGGCAATATCGAAAACACTAATAAGGATAACACGTAACTGACGGTTTGTATTTTCTCATTTGCGATATAGCCGTGTCAATATTCATTATATCATTATACTTCTTGCCGCACGATTTCGGCCTTTTACTTTCGTTAATGTCAAATGTCATTTGGTTCGCTCGAAATCGCGATGATGATATATTTGCGAAGATATTTTGGCGAAATGAAAGGCTTATCTTTTCCAATTCCCACACGAAGTCTTTTAGACAACGATATGAGCTTTCGGAGAGCTCCGCAATTCCTCCCATAATTGCGCCAAGCCCAAATACTAGCTCGATTCCGCAACCTAATACAGAATTAATTGGCGCACGCGGATCCTTTCGTCGGGCTCGAACAAAATTTCCTGGAACGCTCCTAATCACGCAAAGGAAACTCGATGGTACGTTACCGTCGACAATCGAGCCGAATGACGGGCCGGGGTTACGAGGGCGCGGCGCGACGCGACGCGGCGTGGCGCGGAAAAGCAAGGGGGAGGGGGTCAGGGCAAATCTAATGCATCGTCTCGTGCAGGCAGAACAAACCTAAACCTCGTGTAAGTCTCGGCTATAGCCGTTCGCACAACGAGAGGCTTACCGGTGTCTTAATGCCATGTAATGCGATCAGTTCCAACCAACACAGAGACGCGCGCTTTCGCTCGCTTGCTCGATCGCTCGCCCGAGGTGCATCCGCCTCGCGCACGCTCCTCCTCGTTGATGCACTCCGTGACATGAACTCGTTGCAGCCCCCCCCGATAGAAAGGGTATACAGGCTCTCTGGTTTTCGTAAGTGCGAGAGCGCGCGCCAAATCAATAGTCCGCCGTGCGCTCGGTATATAGGACTTTCGAGTAAGGTATGTACGGCTCTCTTCGTCCTGGGCTTCACGACGTAGGCTGGAGACGTTCAATTTTATTCGCGCTCACTGAGATCGATCGCGCCAAATGTCTTTTAGCGCGGAACAGCTGGTTGACTTTTTTCGTTCTCTGCTTCGGTGCTTTAATTGGTTGCGGGGACAAATCAAAGTCTAGAAACGGATAAAGGAATTCATTAACGCAGATTAATCAGAAATCATTAAATCCACACGGCGCGCTCGATTTCTCTTATGTAAAAGGCTATCCGTGTATAACGCTGCAACTCGATAAATCGCGTCGAGATTACGCGACTCTTCGCGAAGATCGGGCGAGAGAAACACGTTGCCCTGGGGAATCGGCGAATAGATCAGTGTGTCGTGAATCGATACGATATCGCCGCGGCATCGATGAAAAATGATCGAGACTCCGACTCGCGAGAGTGCAGGCGGACGTCAAGCGCGATAAATCACTCTCGATTCCGCACATCTAGCTCGCGATTCGCGGAAAAAAAAAGTTTCCCGGCGTCGTACCGCGTCGTCGCGGAGCGCAATGTAATCGTGCCGCGCGTATATCTTGAGGGTTCTATCGACACGCCGCTCGTTTATGCGAGCCGCCTGTACACACGCACGCATACAGAGGCGCGAATTGCACCACACGGGCCCTCGCGTTCGTCTGTTTATAAGTGCAAATAGCCGCGAGTGGCATAAAGTTAAGCGCACGTGAAGGCAACGCACGCGCGAGCGAGCGAGCGAGCGAGCGAGAACGCTAGACACTTGCCGCATAGGAAAGGCGTTGAAGGCGCAATTAAGATAATTAATCTAATACCACGGCCTCGCCTCGAGGCAATACAGCTACCGGCGCTCGCATAAATCCCGAGGCCTCGTTTATTGCATCGCGCCGACGCGAACGCCGAGCTCCGCGCCGCGTGAATTATCACCGCGGACGAGCGAAGCGCGGCTCCGAGAGTCGCCGCGGCGCGCCGCGTTTAACGTCGGGGCCTTTTGATTTTCTTCGACACAATACCTCTCTCTGTCTCTCAGAATCACGATCGCATTGATCGCGCCTTCTGTTCGCCTCGCACGCGCGACGATACGACCCGATACGACGCACGTCGCTAACGAGCGACGATATTTCACTCGCGTGAATATCGGCGCTGTAAGATTTTCATAGATTCTCATTCAGTGGGTTACGCGTAATCGAAATAGCGCTTTACGCAATGTCCGCGTGAAAGTTTCGAAGAAATCGAACACTAAGATTTGTAAATAGACTGCGTGTTCAGATGAGATGAGATTTGTACATCTGCAGGCCATTTAATGCTTCATATTACAAGTTGAAGTTAGTTTGGCGAATTATTAATATGCAATCAATTATTATTCTAACTTTGTTATATTTCCTTACACGATTGCAATAGCTTCCGTATAATGTTTATCAGAATTAACGTTAATGCGAGCTGGGTCTACTTGCAATCTCAGTTCTTCATTATGCTGCATGTCGATTCACCAATAAATCAATTAGCACACAGAGCGAGGACGTCGTCGAGATATTGCGCTAGTATAGATAGAAATCGCCGATTGGTTTTCGCAATCTTCCGGATGGGGATATCCTCTTACCGCACGCTCGTCCTTGTCGCAATTTTTCGATTGAGACATACGCATACGGTATCCTAACAAAACCGCAACGAGATCGAGCGTGAACGATTTAGCGTCGAAATTGCCGCTGCCAAGGAGGGAGGTAACTTTATCACCGACCCTCTCGTTATACTCTCGGAACCAATTATAGTGTGCCGTAATCAATGGGCATTCGCGCGTCTCAAAAGATTGTCAGCTTGCGAATGCCGGTAAATCATATCGAAATAGGCGGAACCCATTTACCCGGTGGCCGCGCAGCTCCGCTAACGTTCCCTAACGATTGATAACTCACTAACCACGCCTTTCCATAAATCAATAATCAATCTAGAAACACCGAGGCAACGGGTTCCTTTATAATCCGTCTTGCGACGATGTCGAGTTTGCTTGTCTAACGTACGACTTATTCTTCGCGAGACAAACATCAGCACGGTATAATTTAATTAATTTTTAAACGCGGTATACATGCGAAAAAAGATTTCGTAGAATAAGAAGTAATTAAGAGCGCAAAATAAGCGCGAACCTCGCAAGATTGCTAACTCTGCGTCGTTGTTGCAGAAGGCAGGCGCTACTGACAGTATCGGGCGGCGGTTCCCGTTTGACAGCGAGTGGACCAGCGTCGCCGGACAAGCGGCGCTCGTCGAACTCCGCCACCGATCTCATGGACGACGATGACAAGCTGCTGGACGTGGTCGGACCCGATACGCCGCACCCGGCCCACCACCATCGGGAGCGGGAGCACTCCCGAGAGAGGGACGATCGAACGAGCGAGCGGGGCGAGGGCAGCGAATCGTCCGGGTCCGAGAGCGGTGGCGGGCCAGGTCCAACGGGGTCCGAGGGTCCACGGCCGGACGTCTCGGTCGGCCCACCGCTTCACCCGCCCCTCTTGCCGTATCTGTACCCGCCGGTGCCCGGACTTTATCCCGGTCCCGGTCCCCTGATACCACCCACTCCCCTCGGACTCCACGGCGGGGTCACGCCCGGTATGCTGTTTAACGCCCAGCTGGCCTTGGCGGCCCAGCATCCGGCGCTCTTCGCGCACTATCCTCATCCCCTGGCCAGTCCCCTGCACCAGCTCAAGGGGCACAGATTCGCGCCCTATACGCTCCCGGCGCCCTCGCATGGCTCGGCCTTCGAGACCGTGACCCCCGGTAGTAGGACCCTAAGTCCGAGATCACCGCCGCCAAGGCCGCCGACCGACTCGCCGACACCCACCGGCGGCGGTGCTCTCACCTCGACGACACCCAGCTCTGCCGGTGAGCTCAAGTCCATCGAGAACATGGTGAACGGACTGCAGGAGAAGAGAAGAAGAAGTCCGAGTCTGACGCCCGGGCATCGGGGCGATGACGCTGGCGGAGGGAGTCCGTGACAGGAGAACGAGCCTGTGAGCAGCACGAAGGACGACGACCCTGACGAGGACGAGGACTGCGCCGACGAGTCCGGCGGCGACCCGGAGGACCTCTCCGCCGACGAGAGGGAGCCGGACTCCACGTCGGAGCCGTCGTAGCGGCGGGAACGTTGGCTGGTCGGCATTCGGTTCTCCCTGTCTTCTCCTCATCCTATTCGGGAGTCCTGGCCGCACCGGACGGGAGCGAGGAAGGCCGGACTCTCATACTACAAAGTGCAATTTTATTTCCGGAGCGGCGCCGCGCTCGAGAAGTCGTTCTCGCGAGCGGGAGCGGCGCCCTTCGTGCTTTCGGGACGGAACGAGGAGTCCCCCGCGTGTTTCCTGTATCTGTAAATAGACCTACGCGGTTCGCGCGAGCTAGAGAGCACGATATCGCGCGCGTTAGGAGTGTGCGTCTCTGTTAAAGGACCGCGAAGCGGGGTGCGTTGGGCTCTGAACGGACGCTGCACCGATCGCGCGTTTGCTGTAAATTAGATGAGACGCGAGAGTGAATGCGATAAGAGGAAAATGAATGTGAGAGAGGGAGAGAAAGAGAGAAAAAAAGGGAGAGAATCTACGAGCGCGTACCTGTGTCACGTGTGAGTCTACGTTCTACCTGTGTACGTTAGGTCTTAAGGGAAGAAAACAGAGAACGATATTGCAATATAAGAGCACCTCCTACTATTTGCAGCCCCTGTACATATGTACCCTAGTGATATTATATATATATTATATTATATTATATATATATATATAAATATTATATTATAAATATAAATAACATCTACTCTCTCTCTGTACTAATTATTAAATATATTATTATATTATAACGACTAGAGAGACGTAAACGCATAAACGCACGCTGCCCGATTTATGCCTCGAAAACGCAAAGCAAAAAGCGCAAGAAATCCTAAATACGAAGAATCTCGGGATCCGAGTTGACGATCCATAGAAAAAGCAACGCGACGCGGCATAAACCGCGGATTGGTTCACCGGGAAGCAGTGCCACTCTCGAATCCTCTCGTTCTCGAAATTCCACGTCGCCCGGAGAGACTCGCGTCCTTTGAACGTGCGTCGAAGGTAAAGCCGTCGGTCGAAACAACACGTGGTGGGCAACCAGCTTTTCATTTGTTTACTCGGATGTCACTATCGACGAATACTTTTTTTTTTAGAACCTCTTTGTTACCCCTTTTAAAATAGTAGATCGAAATACGTCGGGCTTGTGATCGTCATTTATGTTAATAATTTGAAAATTATAGAGAAACGATTTATCAAAAATATCTATTTTTACATTGTTCTCAAACGTTGCAAAGTTAGAAGTTCAATTTATTTCCATAATATTTTTTTTATTTAAAAGAGGCAAATCGAGATTTTTTATTTTACTATAATTGCTCAAGACTCGATTGCCGAATTGTAGCGAAGGACTGAAATCCTACGCGCCGATTAAAAATCCGAGTCGGCCTGTAATTTGTATAAATAGTGGCGGTCGGTGTAAATAATTATTGAACGCGTGTGATAAGAACGTCGAGTAAATTTGCAATCAACTCGCGCGAGTCACTTTAGGGAGCAGAGGGATTCGCTATCGCGAATACTGCATGTACGTATAACACAATAGAAGCGGTCTAAAGAGAAAAACCTGACGTCTGGGATGGAAGATAACGGTGATTTAAGGCGAAATCGCGCGATGCCCGCGGGAGAACGTAGCGCGGCGGTGTTTTTTTCCTTTTCTTTTTTTTTAAGGGAACGTCTCCGAGAATGGGATTCTCTCGTGATGTCCGAGAATGGGAGGCCGTTATCGTTTGCACGCACTGTGACAATGCGAATGCGCCGCACGTCCGCGCGCTGCACATTTGCAGCGACGATCGAAAGATCGACTCGATACCCCCAGCGCAATGCACCTTGGCGTTCAACGTCTATCATCTCGTTGTGCAATCGACGATCGGCCTCTCATTCGTATTCTAAGCCACTCTGTCGTAATTCGACTAATCGCTGTCACGTCTCCTACGCGTTTTCGATCCTGCAGTAACGTCGAGTAGGTATCGTAAAATGAGAAAGACACGAGTGGATCTTCTAAGTCGATCTCTCGTTTTTAAATCATTTGTTGCCGTTGTTCACTAATTGCAAGAAGGTAAGTCAGCAGCGACTGGACGAAGTAAATCAATTAAATACAACGTTAATAAATACAGTGCTCGAATTATAATATCATTTACACGAGTAATTTAATAAGTTAGGACTCTCGAAATTAAAAATCGATAATAGAATGGCTATGAGAGTCAGACGCAGTTATCGGTGCGTAGGTGATCAAAATCACTAATTTATTCCAAATAAATTACATTCGTACGTTTCGGCTCAACACTTCGAATTATTTTCAGCGATATCAAATGACGAAAATTAAAATGTTACAAAGTTCTCCATTCCAACGTAGTAAGTTTCCTTGTTTGGAGATTTCAAGAAACGAAATTGAAAAAGACTACAAGATCCATATCAAGTATGCCAATTATTATTACTGGAACACGTATTAGATAAAAGGTATTACTTTTAAATTTAGCATGTGCTTAGCAAGTTTTAAGATAGTAGCGGTAGCATTAACGTTTATTATCGTAGAAGTTTTGATGTTCTCGATGAACCGTACATTTGCTGCCACGTGAAAAATTATGGATACCTGATTTATCAATATGTTCTTGTCATTTTCTGACAATCCGAAGACTTCTGTATCGAGATCTATGATAGGTACGATTTTTTTGCGGAAATTGGGTACTTCTTTTTTACTCGGTCAAAAAAAGAGGTTTCTCAAACATTTTATCTAATCGGCTTTCGGGACTCTTGTCTTTTTTTCGAACGTATCAGCAGATATATCGTCGAAATATCGGGGCAACTTCGTAACAGTGTCTCAGTCAATATTTTTCCAACAAAACCAGTACCGCCTATAAGACAAAATAATAACCCTGTTATTTTGTCTTATAGGTGGTACTGGTTTTGTTGGAAAAATATTGACTGACAATGAGACACTGTTACGAAGTTGCCCCGATAGTTCAACGATATATCTGCTGATACGTTCGAAAAAAGACGAGAGTCCCGAAAGCCGATTAGATGAAATGTTTGAGAAACCTCTTTTTTTGTAACATTTTAATTTTCGTCATTTGATATAGCTGAAGATGGCTCGAAGTGTTGAGCCGAAACGTACGAATGTAATTTATTTGGAATAAATTAGTAATTTCGATCACCTACGCACCGATAACTGCGTCTGACTCTCATAGCCATTCTATTATCGATTTACACGAATATATAAAAATAATTAATTTCATGCTGATATTCACTCGATATTTACCAAGCCGAGATATTTCAAAATTCTCAGAGCATATTAAATTTTAATATATCTTAGATTGACAATTAACATTAATTTTGGTTTTACAGAAACATTATGCAATACAGGAATATATATAGAACGTGATATGACGCGTTGATTATTGAATATGTATAATATCTGAAAATATTGACTAAAACGAGAGATATATCGACTGTTGGAAGTCTTAATCAGCTTATAGTTTCATTTTGCGATACCCGTTAAGCGGGCTTGCATCGTCGTTGTAATATGTCTGTACATCCGAATCGATTACAAGGGAGCGAAGTGTTCTGAAATCCGAAAGCAATAATCGAGCAGAGCTGTGAGTGCAACTATCGCGGATGAAACTAATCGGTTCGGCTGTTCTAATGAACTGCTGCGGTCGGCCAAGATTTCCATAAGCAAAAATCGCCATTGGCAGGCACTTTGATCCAGTGCAAAATTCGTGAAACGAATATTTTCGAGCGATTCGAAACGAATAGTCGGAGGTCGATTTAGAATCGTGTCGTCGAGTAAAGGGCCCGACGATTATTGTTCATCATACTTTAAGCGATAACCAGAAGCCTATTCTACAATCTGGTAGACGGAACGGCAGATAGATTTTTTTATTTTATTAATGTGTTGATCGAAGAACTGTTATCACAATGATAAAAAAAATCGCCTCCAAAAATGGCGAGATAAATATTTTCCACAAATCTTTATTACTTTATTTACTTGTTACTGATTACGCAGAACCCTTAATTCGTTTACGCGTGTTGATTTTAATGAATCCTGTTCAGATATGTCCGATAAACGTTGTACATATATTTACTTTATTCCAATTTGTTTATATTCAGCGCTAAATACGGGCTCTCCCCTGAATTTTCTCTCCGGTCCTGAATTTTACTTATATAAAAAAAAACCTCGATGCAAATGTAAGATGGGAGAATTGCCGTATTCAACGCTAAATGTACAGTATGAAAACGAGCCAATGTTCCGGTGCAGAAGTAGAAACTGATCGATATGTACAGATATGCAATTGAACAGGCAAGTGGATGAAGAAGGCTTGTCACATTCGCACGTTAAGTTATTTGTATGGATGAACATTATTCCCTACTGTACCATACGTATCAGTACGTAAAGTGTATTATCAATTTAGTGCTGTGATGGTTCTTAGTGAAAGTTTAGCCTGTGGATACGAAGAGTCTATTGTACAATATTAAGTCACATTAATGCGAACGTATTTAATTTAAACGCTAAAAACCTGTAATCACGAGGTGTCATTATATCAAATATTTTCTTCGTCCATCTGCTCCTTCAATTTAACGATTCGATCGTGTACGATTGAAAAGTCCGTCGTCCATCCGGAATTTTAAGTTACGGTCGAAGCTACTTTCGTCCGATCGAAATCGCGTCTCAGTTCCCTCGAATCTTCGAGAATTTGCTCAATCCCTCGCATAATTTTCGTGGCTTCCTTCGGGTCGTACGCACGGTCTTGTACTCGAAGCGACGCGAGCATCATCGTCGACGAGAAAATAGGAAAAGCAATAAAAAAAAATGATTAAAGAGAAAAGATAAGGAAACGAAGGAAAGAACGAGCGGTTCAGACGTGGGCCGCGCGCGTCAAAAGCGGATCTAACTTCTTAACACGAGAATCGTGATATTCCGTGACTTGTATTGTATATTGTACACTCCTTAGATTCTTTGTCCTCCGCCCTCCCGACTCCGTTCCCAATCTTGCCCCGTCATCAAAAGTCCCTCCGCAAAAAATCCACGTGATTAAGAATTCTATATATATATATATATATATAATAATTTAAAAATACAACACTGTGTATACAACTCATTTCTCACGCTCCGATTAATAAATAAACTTAATTGCACGATGAACTTATCGTTGCATAGTTATATCGCGCGCGCGCGGATATCTGCGCAAAATAAAGCCACAATATGTTATTCCTTAACGAACGTCGCGCCATTCGCGACTTATCAACTTCCGTGCATATTTCTCCTTTTACACTCCGCGCGAAAAGCCACGGTTGCGTCAGCTCTATTGGATAAAACGTGTCGTAACGTTAATTTTTACTATCTTTGTACATTGCCCGTTAATAACTTTGACACTAACTCTAGCAATAGGCCAAGTAAATCGGGAATAGTAATCTCGCTTCGCCACCGTTACAGAAAATCGATCACCGTTTGGCTACTACGCGAAGCGAACGATGATGATTAGCATTAAACAGATGTTGTTTGCGTACGAATGTAACCAGTCGGCCGATATGCGTTTTATACGCGTTTTAACGAAGAAGCTTTTGATTCCGCCGCCTCTTTAATGAAAGAAATCGTTTTTCGTTTTTGCCCAGAAGATAAGCGCGCAAGAACGCGCTTCGGTGGCGCAGGAATTTTAATCTTTCGGCCGATCGGTCGGACGATTGTAATAATTACGGTTTGCTCGTGTGAAGATACGGCGATGCGCTCTTTCCCGACCGCAAAATAAAGTAATGAAAACGTGAGGGGCAGCGAACGTTTTGAAATACGTACAAGGAAGCATATATATAGATTTAATAAAAAAAAAAAATCAGTACATTTTTATCTGCTTTGGATTATTGTAAATTCATACTTTATTATGATTTCGCGAGAATTTGCAAAATTTACATAACACTTTAATTTAAATACTCTTAATATTTCGGAAGAGAGTTATAGTTATATCAGACTCACTACGATATGTTACATGAGAACATAGTGTTCCAGGAATGGTGCAAATTGATGAGATATCGACGTAATTAGCCGGCATATGCGTCTTTTTTTTTTTTAATGAAAGGTTTCCCCGATGAATTCGCATTTCCGTGCCATGGCGCAAAGGTAAATTCCGATGATTACGTAGATAAAAAGTTAATGAATACGGCCTTGTTTGAAGCAAGCAGACTAACGATTCCTTGCAGCGAGACAATTAGGGGTATTACATAGGTAATTAGGCGGCCGTGCATAAGTTTCGTCACATTATAACTCAAACTGTTGTCGCTTTCACGTATACCATGCGACGTAACTCCTAAGTGCGAATAATTATAATATTTTGCAACGACGGAAAGCTACGACTGTCAAATAAAAATAAAACGACGTGGAGTGTCGATAACGGAATAAAATTGTTGGAGAATGTTATTGCGTTCTAAATTTGATTTTTTTTAAATATATTTGACACAGTGCTGGCACGTGAAAAAGTTAATTTTGAGGTTTTCTATTATGACTCTCGAATTACGTGGTTGTGTCTTTCTCGGACACAAAGCTCCTTCATATAAAATAAATTGTGGCGAGGAAGAATTCTCCTTTTGTCAACCACGTGTCTATTCCGACATCGTTGCCAGAAATGGAGCAATCGCGATTTCTCGATTATCCCGGTAATTTGAAACGCTTGCATTTTGCGGCGACTTTCGTGTCACGTAAGCGCTTTCGCCGAACGATGAGTAAATTAATATGAAAGGAGCAAGATTAGGAAGGGCGGAGACGAAAAGGGCGATCGGAGCGGCGGCGATTTTATTTCACGACGAAAATCGAAGAGACTTTCGTGTCGCAGTATGCTAAACCGCGTCAGCGAGGAGAGTCGCTCGGCAGCGAGCTGAACACGAATGCGAATGACTGTATTACAATAATAAGTTGATTCACGATGCTGAATATTGCGTTTTATAGAGCCATAACGCACGTTTGTCGCGATAGTAAAAGTCACGCACGATAAGACGGATGGATTTATGGGAGAATTAAGAGTCAAACAATTAATTCCCGCGAACAATTAAGGATCTCTCAGTAATTTTCCGCGTGCTACAACGTGCTAGGATACTTCGTTATATCGTGGAATCATTTCCGTTCAATCTAATAATCTAATTCATTGATTCATAAAAATATCGAAGTTATGCACGTAAAACAAAAACTGTCATTTATGGTTGATGCACTGTACGTCGCACTGCGTTCTGCAGACTGGCAGCGACAGGGTTAACGACCATCTGAAGGAAGGGAAAAGGCGGAAGGCACACTATCGCACATCGTCTGATTTTTATAAGATCTTGCTTCTCGATTTCATCAGAACGCCGTTAATGAGCTCGTGAGTAATCGACGCGATCATGAAGGTGATGCGTCTTACGCCGCGATCGGATCTATAACGTAACGTAATAAGGAACCCTAGGCAATTATTAACGTTTACCGTGATATTCCATGCGCGCACTAAATAATTTATATCCTCGTAACGTGCACGACCCGAAAGGATTTCGATCAAACTCATTTTGCTCTTGTATCGCGAAATCGATTGCTTATTGCTTTCCAATGGAGGGAGGCATTTAAATTTGCATAGTAGCAATTTTCGTAGCTACGGTGCAATGTCGCTGCAACCATGACAGATTGCATTGCTGGAGTACAAGTTTTAAAGGTCTTACCGCATGTCAATGCGGTTTACGATTGAGCCAATGGTAATGGACGAGGGTGGCAGCGAAGGGAGAAAGAAGAATTAGTCGGTACCAAGCAACCACTACACACACCACGTAGCGTGTTCCGCTAAAAGAGCTCGGTTTAATATCGTTTATAAATTATTCTCCGCGGAGAGATAGCCATCAGCATACAAATTGGTTCGCCCAGGACCTCGAGGCTTCCTGTAGAGAGGACCCGCTATCTCGTCTAGATTCTCACCCTAGCCATTTTTCTACGAAAGCCATGTCGGGAAGTGCTCCGAGAAAGTTTTACAAATGCGCAATTTCGCAGTCGTTTCAACCGGAACAATCGGAACCGGGAACATGTCAAAGAATTTGTCGGTCGCGCGCTCTCGCGATCATAATTCCCTCTGTTGATATCTATTCGTTCTCTATCTATGCTAAAACGCTTAAGAGGTGCATTAATTTCACAGCTACCGAATATCATTATTTAAAAGGAAAATCTCGATGTGACCCATTATGACAATCGTTATGTTATCTATGATAATAACGTGTGCCTTCTCCGTGCATCTTTCGCTTTTTGCGAAAACTTAATGAGAAACTTCTCTCTAAAAGGCATCAATTAAAAGCCAAATGTCCTGCGAGTAGAGACGAAGAGGCGCAGAGAAAACGACCACGCGGACTCCGATTCTCGAAGAGAAGCCCCCGACTTCCTCGGGAACGAGAGAGAGAGAGATTAGGAAGCAATCGGAATGCACGGTGGCCGTCTTTGATCGGCGAACAGACACGATCCGGCATTGCCGGTCCAGTCCTCGCGAGGTCCGTGTCCTCGAGGGAATTAGAATCCTCCAAGTTTCGAAGAACCGCGCCGCGCGGTCCACTTGGCAGCCCGATAGCGACGAGGATTTAATTGACACCGGGAGGTGTCGCCGCACTAAACTATGCAAAGTAGTCGGCTTTCGTCTTCTGAAGCCTTCGACGAGCTGCGCGAATCGCCGAGTTCTATCGAGATAGCCGACCTGTCGAAGATGATTATCGATCGTACGGACTGACGGTGTGCCCTTTAACAAAACTCGATAGATTTTTTTTATTAAAGAAAGACTGTAGATTATTTTTGACGATGTAGAAACATTTTTCAGAAAAAAAAAACTGACGCGCGAAGGCTGAATAAAATTAAGAAGTTTACATTTTGATGGAATTTTTTATTATTAGTATTCCGTTAAATCGAATTATAGAGACTCTGTTTTCGGATATCTGTATAGACAACGCCGTAACGAATTTAATTATTTCCAATCGTATCTCCATCCGGTTCAGCAACACTGAAATATTACGTGTTGTATGATTTAGGAGACGCGAGACCCGTTGAAGATAATCACCAATTTGTGTAAATTAGAAAACGCAATAATCGATCTCTACAAGATTCCTAATCAAGCGGCGGTTAATGGCGTAATCAACGCGTACGAATGCTAATAATATTCATACGTAAACATCGATATATAATATTAAAATCGATATATCATAACATCGATATATCATATATATCGGCAAGTTTTTTTTTAACGTGAGCAATCTCTCACACTAATGTATACTAAAGTTTATGACTCTTCGACAGAATTTTGCGCAATTATATTAAACAAAAATTGCAACTATTAAAGCTGTTGACCTTGCGACAATCGATATTTGAATAGCGGAGCAGCATCTTTAGGATACTCGAGAAATTTCCACCGTCTTATTCCCGATGAAGGACATTGTCTGCACTTTCAATGGCCGCGCTTAATTGACACTGGTAGGTGTCACGACTCTAAACTATGCAAAGTGACCGGCTCGTCGGCGGCTTCGGGCCTCTGATGTCGGCCACGTGTGCGCGGCCTCTCGAGAGCCGACTCGAGCCATCGCTAGGTACACGTCGGCACGTCTGACGTCCGCGAAGACGATCGAGCGAGGATGATCATCGATCCGAGAAATTGAGGCTCCGCCATTCGATCGGACCGAACGAACGAACGAACGATCCGTTCGGCGGAAACTCATATTGAAACGTATTAATTATTGACGCTGTCGGTATCACGTTTCTTCTACATCGCTCACCGCTCTATGCGTCGTCTCTCCGCGCTAACGGGAGGCTCGAATTCCTCCTCGCGAACCAGTTTATACCGAAGCTCTTCGTGGCGCGATGACAAAGATCGGCCGCCTCTAAAAGTCGAGGCCGCTCTTTTCGTTTTTCTCGTGAATGTTAAAACGTTTCAACATTATCTGCAGCATCTACAGCATTCTTTTGTGAAAAAAAATGTAAAAACAAAAATTACACGTACGCCGTTAACGTGAGGATCTCTTTCGCAATTTTCAGTTCTCTTTTTCGCGCGTACGATAAAATTTCATCCTCAACTCGTTTACGTCGTTTATTTCATCGTAATAGAAA